CCGCCATTTTGAAAAACTATTTCAAACTTAAAGTAAAGTTCTACTTGGCCGATTGAACTGAAACTTTGTAGGAATGATCGAATCATGGTCCTGACAAAGTGTTGTTATTTTTCGGGTCAATCAGAAATACAATTTGGCTGCCATGGCCGCTATTTTGTAAATACCTATTTCAAACTTAAAAACAAGTTCTAATAGGCCGATCTCACTTAAAATCGGTCTAGGAATGATCAGCTCATGGTCCTGACAAAGTTAAGTTAACATCATACTTAACTATTTTTTACTCAAATTGGTACATATTTCAACAACAAAAATAAATACTGTAGGACTCAGGTGACCGTTAAGGCCCATGGGCCTCTTGTTTACCAATCAAATAGATAGCCGCATGCTTTTAATTTGGCTATGACATATTCCAGGGTTGCAAAGAACGTAAGTGAGCGTCTGGAGTATCAAGAATGGGCTCAGTGCTGAAGTGAAGTTGTAGAACTAAACAGTAACTTTGAGATTGAACGGAGATACGGTATATTTATTGTGTGATTCGAACATGTAAACCATCATGTCGCTAAAACTTCAGAAATTAAAAATAGTACGGTACATGTACATTTTTGATCTCCTTCCGTTACATAGAGTAGAGCTCTACAGCTAAAATACGTACTCAAAGTTTTAAACATGTAAAAATACTTGTGCCACATTTTGATTCTTTTCAATTATGTTTTGATACTCTATATATTGAATCAGAAATGTAAGCTTCGAATTCCAACACTTCGATTTGAAGGTTCTGGGCTCTTGCATTAATATGACCAACTTTGGATGAGAACACCTTAAATTATTTAAAACAATTTCACCATTTGCCTATGTGTGTGGGGGGTGTTTCTTTTCTTTAATTTCAGTTTCATTTTGTTGGTTCAACCTTTTTTTCTCTCTCAAAAACTCTCAATTTTAAGTTTGCCAGCCCAGAGCATAAGTAAAAGATTGTCCTCCTCTAGCTATATACATCTAATGTTTTCAAAAGTTGTATATCCTTATCACTGATTGGTTGTATAGGCAGAGCCCAGCCAATGAAAGTGAGTGTCACATTGACACTGACATTGAAACAGCATGCAGAAATAGTCTAATTACGAGTTATCCAAAATGTATTATGAATCAAACGCAAACAATTGGCCATATAACTGAGTAATGGTAAATTGTGACACTTTTAATTATACCCCCGCAACAAAGTTAGGGGGGGTATACTGGAATCACCGTCTGTCTGGATGTCTGTCTGCCGTCCGCAGTAACTTGTCGGGGAAAACTCCTCCTTAACTAACAGGTGGATTTCATTGAAACTTTGCATGCACCCGCATTTTTAATTTGTGATTTCGACCCTTTTTGATGTAGTTATGCCCCTTTGTGCAAAATACTTGTCTGTGTAACTCCTCCTTAACTAACAGGTGGATTTCATTGAAACTTTGCATGAATGATCAGTATCTTATGTTGTTGTGCACCAGCATTTTAATTTGTGATTTCGACCCTTTTTGATGGAGTTATGCCCCTTTGTGCAAAATACTTGTCCGTGTAACTCCTCCTTAACTAACAGGTGGATTTCATTGAAACTTTACATGAATGATCAGTATCTCATGTTGTTATGCACCGACATTTTATTTTGGGATTTCAACCCTTTTTGGTGGATTTATGCCCCTTTATGCAAAATACTTGTTGTATTTGACCTTTAACATAATGCTGTAAATTGTTATGTTTGTGAAACCCCTGCAGGTCGGGGAACATAAAAAGAATACACCTGCTATTTCCCCCACTGCATGAGCGTAAGAGGTGACTAGTGTGGAGATCCCCCTGCAGCATTGGGGATTCGCTTTTGTGTCCTCTTTTCGGGGACAAAAATTGACGAAATAATTCTGCATCTACATATTATTTTTTATTTTTTTTGTAATGAAATAGTGATTAAGTCATTACTGGTGGGAGACTATATTGCTTTGCATTAGTAAGCCTTTAACTTACAGTTCTAGTTTATATAGTAGTAGGGGTAATAGTTAGCCTTTGGCATACATTTCTAGTTTTCAAATTATTTAAAATTCTGGAAAATTTACACATTCAACTTCATATCATATCATTTAAACAAGATGACTTGTATATGTGAATAGTTTGTCCTGAACATGAGTTCAAGTTTAAATAGAAGAAAAAATTCTGCAGATATTTTCAAAATTCACCATAATAATATTTTAATGCTGTAGTCATTGTTGCTCTATGTATGTAGCAGGGTTTGCCTTCAGTGCTACACCTTCTACACAAGCCTCCGCCACAGGGGGATTCAAGTTTGGAACGCCCGCGGCAGCATCAACACCTGCTGCTGGCTTCAATTTTGGCCAACAAGCCAGCACAACCACAACACCAGCCACAGGATTCAATTTTGGGACAGCCACTGCCGGCACTGCGGCCCCCACTGCTGCCCCTACTGCCACACCAGGTGGAACTGGATTTGCCTTCAACACTCGTAATACTGTTATTTGTGTTAATAGAAACATTTATAGCAAAATTTTATGATCAATCATTGGTTACCATTAAATTTGATACTAGTGATGAATTCATAATCGTTCTAAAGCAAAAAATTACAATGGGAACATACAATGTACTGTTGTTGTGATTTGCTTTTACGCAAATGAAAAATAATACAATGTAAGAAATATATTACTTCAACAATTGATAATGCAAATATAATGCATGTAAGTGGTAATAAATATCAGTAGAATTCTGTTGCTTAACTCTAGTTAGTATCTAGCAAGGAGACTGACTCAAAATTGAATTGCTCTGCTGAAAACTCCATAATATCTCCAAACATATATTCCACCTAAAATTTATTGTGAATTCTGTAGCCAATTAATCGGTTTATTGGTCTAATTGACCAATAGTCAACAAAGTTGATTAATCCGGACAACAGTACTGTATTATCTTTCCCTATATTTGATTTGTCATTTTTAGGGTAAACAGGGTCATAATTTCTTAAAATGTGTCACTTTGTTTGAAATATACCTCATATACTTTGTCAGCTACATTTGCCAAATATTGTATTTGTGTTCCTCCTGTGATTGCATACTTTTCCTACTGAAATCAGGTCTTATACCCGAATAAAAAAAAAATGATTATAATAATAATTATTCGAGGTTCTTATTACACCTTTATCACAACCTAAATTATTATCCGTGGTTATTGGGCCTTTTTGCAACCAGCCAGTATCTTTCTCAACTCTCTTGGGAGCATACAGCTGGTGCTGCCATTTCGGTGCTCACAACTAGCATTTAACAATTCCAGCACTGCCCAACCACATACTCATTTGCAGCTGAGTAGACTGAAAAAAGCAGAGTAAAGTATCTTGTTCAAAGATACAAGACAGTGTCGTGACGTGACTTGGAACCTGCAATTAGTTCACCATTATCACTGTTTCAACAACATACATCTTTAATTTTATTATATACGATTGCCAAACTATGTGAGTACCGATATTAGTTCTTGTCCGCCACAATATTCAGAGTTATGGCCCCTTGTTTATTTCTAAAACAAAACTTCTTCTAGAGGAAGGGGACAATGGATGATAATACTTTTTTTTACTTTGACAGCTGTCGCCACATCAGCCACAGGAATTAGCCAGCCAACAGCTGATGCCACACCAGGCTTTAATTTTGCCACAACTATAAGCTCGACAACGTCCACGAATACTGCTGGTACCTCAGGTATGAGACATCGATATTGTATTATTGTATTATTATGGCAAAAAAAAAGTTTTCATAGAAACAACATCAGTGCCTTCAGACTGCTTATTTTGTCTTTTGAATTTTAATGCTGAATTTGACAGAAAATAAAGACATTGTACTTGTCAACAGGTGGCCTGAATTTGCAAGCTGGAGGGGCACCTGGACTTCTTAGTACTCCAACTGGACTTCTTGGTACTCCAGCTGGACTTCTTAGTACTCCAGCAACTCAGTCAACTGGAATATTAGGAGCCAGCACTGCTGCACCGGGGTTGACACTTGGTGGCAGCACTGCTGCAGCAGGTCTGACACTTGGTGGCAGCAATGCTGCACCAGGTTTAACACTTGGTGGCAGCACTGCTACACCTGGTCTGATATTAGGTGGCAGTACTGCAGTAACGGCTGGTCTGACATTAGGGTCCAACACCCCAGCTTCAACTGGTCTGACACTTGGTGGCAGCACTGCTGCACCTGGTCTGACACTAGGGTCGAACAACCCAGCTTCTACTGGCCTGACATTTGGTGGTAGTACTGCAACAAACACAGGGCTAAAATTGCCGTCATCAACTGCTGCTTCAACTTCGGCAGCCACTGGATTGTCGCTACAGGGAGCCCTGGCCCCAAAGACATCGGCCCAAGGCTTCACAGCCCCAACATCAACGACTGCTGCAACGTAAGTAGGAAACTAAATACTGCGTTTTATATCTCAAGACCTTAACAAGGATTTATACCTTTTGTTTTCAAATTAAAGCCAGCATGACGTGTTAATAATTGGCTACCAATCTTAATGGTCTTAAGACTATATAGCATGCATTTCGGCATGAATGATAAAGACAACTCGTTAAATAATCTGTTTTCTTTCTTTCAAAATCATTGTCAGATTGTAAGATATCAAATACATTTCTCATTCTTCCGTCAAGAATTTTTATATTGTATCTTTTACATAAGTAGTTTGATAGTATACATCACACTATTGATCATTTTGCTAAAATATACTCAATATGCTGTTTTAGAGATACATTTTCTCTCTGGTTTTGATCAGGTTTGAGATATGCATGCCACATGTTAGGTGAGCGTGTAGATTTCCTGTAAACAGTAAACACCATTCATAAGTCAGCTGTCACAAAAAGTATACACTGCAAAGAATTTGGCTTGCAACTGAATCACCTTTACACCAGAATTGTACTAGCCCCTGTACCATGTGACCTCCAAATAATGTGACTTTCAATTTCGAAGGTTGTATCTCGAAAACAACATATTATTCACCTCTCGTTCTGCTATGCTTGACAGTTCACCTCAGATCTGACTATTCATAGCTCACTTTTCCATACCTGACTATTCTCTTATTCTGCTTTATCTGAATACTCACCTCTCAATATATATACTGCTGTGCCTGGCTGTTTACCTCCCGTCTGGATGTGTTGTAGAGCCAATCAGAAACAGATGACATATCAACAATTGGAGGACCACATCAACAAATGGATGTCTGAACTGGACAATCAGGAGAAGGACTTCCTGGAGCAAGCCACACAGGTCAACGCCTGGGACAGATTACTGATAGACAATGGGGAAAAGGTAGCTTACCAAACAAATCTGGGATTAAGTTTTAGCCATCCATCTGTTCTTAGCAGCTGTACATTGTACCTGAATACCAGGCCTCCATCCTTGATTTTGACTTTTAAAGATTATTATCGCCCTTTGTACAGAAACACTCGACAGGTCTTCCTCAAATTTTGTACAGTCGAACCTCGTATCTCGATGTCGACGGGGTCATGGAAAACCTTTTAGTTATCCGTGTATTAAAGTTATGCAGGTTCATAAATTTGGTATGAAATTTGCTGTTTGGACATAGCACTAGAAGTTGTTGATTTTATTAATAGCTAATGCTTGTAATCAATTGATGAATGCTATATGTAATCAGTATAACAAATACGTATACAGGTATGTTATTTTACAATTAAATCGCTAACAAAAAACAAAAAACGTACTCGTTTAAGGCGATCAAAACGGCTGGACCACATTGTGAATTCAGCCTGGTATTAAATTGCTGTTTTTGGCTAGTCTAGATCTTGGCAAAGTCTTTCCAGGTCTACATTTATATTTGCACGTCCGTCAAATTTTACTTCTGAAGTGTTACATTTAAACATCGTCGAACTATCCCGCTGTCTCCTACCTCGTACTATACAATGCGGAAATGAAAGTGCGCAAGTCTAAAACAAATCACTTTAATGGAGCGTACGCGTATTTGATTCTGTAAATGAAGACACAGACAAAATGATTATATCGTACATGTAACACATTGATCCATTAAAGCCAAATGTGACACCTGACACCTCTTCAACTCGATGTAATCAACAGCAATTATTGTATTGTTCTTAGGTCTCTCGATCGACTTTCAAAGCCATACTTGCTCCTGTAAAAACATGAACCTGTGAAGCTGTCCTAGGTTTTGATTTTAACTGTGGAACTTTTTTATGCATGACCACGCTTTGTGATCAATTTTCTGGTTTGCACTGTCGTCTGTTTGGGTGTACCATCAGAATACTGTTGATCAACATTGATGAAGTTTGGATTTTTATTAGCTTACCTGGTCCAAAGGACCATGGTGAGCTAATGCCATACCGCAGCGTTTGTCGTCCATCCGTCAACTTTTCCTTTAAAACGCTACTAGTCCTGAACAGCCAAGTAGATTTTGACTAAATTTGGTCTGAAGCATCCTTGAGTATAAACGGTGGGTGTGGGGCCGAGGGACAGGGCCCAATAGAGAAAATAAAGCAAATTCTTTAACATCCTTCTCCTCCTGTAGGAATGAAAGGATTTGTTCCATATTTGGTCAGAAGCATCCTTAGGGGAAGGGGAACAAATTTTGTATAAATGGTGGGTCTGGTCCCCCTTGGGGCTGAGGGACAGGGCCCAGGGACGGGGCCCAGGGACGGGGCCCAATAAGGGAAATATAGCAAGTTCTTAAAAATCCTTCTTCTCCTGTAGGAATGAAAGGATTTGTTCCATATTTGGTTTGAAGCATCCTTGGGTGATGGGGAACCTATTTTGTATAAACCATGGGTCTGGGCCCCAAGGGGCCTGAGGGGCGGGGCCCAATGGGGAAACATAGCAACTTCTTTAAAATCCTTCTTCTTCTGTAGGAATGAAAGGATTTGTCCATATTTGGTTTGAAGCATTCTTGGGTGAAGGGGAACCAATTTGTATAAATGGTGGGTCTGGCCGGGCCCAATAGGGGAAATATAACAAATTCTTTAAAATCCTTCTTCTTCTTTTGGAATGAAAAGATTTGTTCCATATTTCTGGCCCTCCAGGGGCCTGAGGGGTGGGGCCAAATAGGGGAAACATAGCAAATTGCAAATTATTTTTTTAAATCTTCCTTCTGTAGGAATGAAAGGATTTCTTCCCAATTTGGTCTCGAGGATCTTGGGGGGAAAAAGGGACTTAATTTTGTATAAACAGTGAGTGTGGTTTCCCTGGGAGCAGAAGGGCAGGGCCCAATAGGGGAAACAGCAAATTCTTCAAATACCTTCTTATTCTGTACGAATAACAGGATTTTGTCCAAATTTGGTATGAAGCATCTTTGGGTGAAGGGGAACCAATTTTGTATTTTGTATTTCATGCTAGTCTACTCACGAAAGATGTTCATAAACACAGAATGCCGAGATGTCATACTTTTGCGTTTTATTTGTATCAAAGAATTAATAAGTGACAAAATGAAATTAGATCACTATGAAGTAGACAGTGTTTTGATGTTGGATTTACGCTATTGAAACCAATATCTTACTTCGAGGTATCCGTGTTTTTCAACGTTTCAAGGTTTGAATTACCAGAGTTTTATTTACTAGAATTACTACGATAAAGAAGAGGTTTGGCCAGGACCGGAGAAATACCTCGAGATAAACGGGGTCTTCGAGTTAAAAGAATTTGAGATAACGAGGTTCGACTGTATATATGTTTACCTTGGTGTTTAGTTTTGTGCTCAGAAAGTCGTAGAGAAGTCTACCTCAATTTCACAGATAGGTTTCTCTCTGTCTGTAATAAGGGCCCCGTATCAGAGATACAGGTGCCCTATAGTAACCACTCTGTCCGTCTGTCCTGGCTGATAACTTTGGTATTTATTGACCGATTTACATGAAACTTGGTCAAGATGTTCAGTTCACGAAAATACACACTAAGGTAAAAAGTCAAGGTCAAAGGTCAAGGTTCAAAGGTCCAGGTCAAATTTTGCATCTTTTCAATAATTAACATTTTGTTATGACATGATGAAGCAAAGTTGATCAGAATTAAACAAGGAGTCAACTGACCAAAGGTCAAGGTCATAGGTCAAGGTTAAATTTCATATCTTTTCACTGGTGAACATTTCCTTATGACACTTCGAAGCAATGTTGGTCAGAATTAAACACGGAGTCAATTGACCAAAGGTCAAGGTTACTGGGTCAAAGGTCAAGGTCAAATTTTGTATCTTTTCACTGATTAACATTTTTATTATGTTTATGATCAAAGTTGTTCAGAACTTAACACGGAGTCAACTGACCTAAGGTCCAGGTTATGGGGTCCAAAGGTTCAAGGTCAAGGTCAAGTTTTGCATTTTTCACTGATGAACATTTTGGTATGGTATTTTGAAACAAAGTTAGGCGGAATTAAAGAATAAGTCAACTGACCAAAGATCAGGGTCACTGGGTAAAAAGTCAAGGTCATTTGGGTCCAAAGGTCAAAGACAAATTGGATCTCTGACTATGAACCTGGCTCTTGATGGAGGAGGTATTTAAGGTGAAATAAAACAAATCAAAGCTAACAAATGAGTATTGCACTGATATTTACATTTCTGTTAGCCCAGCAAATATGGAGGTGGAAGGAAACAAGACTCACATCATAGTACATGTAAAATGTTTATTTTGCTTCCTTGCGATTCTTTTTGAAGTCCAAATGTCAAACGTCAAGCTCAGCTATATGAGCAGATTGCTTCTTGATGATTATGGGGGATATATTGCCACAAGATAGGGCCCTTACTGTCCTCTCAGTGTTCTAGTTATGCTTACATGTGGATACATTTACATGTGGATACATCCTAAGGAGTATTACACCAATATTTCAAATGTAGGTCACTGTGACATGTTTGGTTGGTGTTAAGTTAAGTTCCATTTCTTTAAAAGACTTTCATTTAGCCTCATTTTCAACAAAGCAGGAAACAGAGACATGTGTTGTTTATCAAACGTTGTAAAGTTTTCCCTGTATAACAGATATCTGCGTTGAACAGTGACATGGAGCGAGTAAAGATTGACCAACAGAAACTTGACCATGAGCTGGACTTCATCAAGTCTCAGCAGCAAGAGCTGTCTGACCTCTTGATCCCACTGGAGAAGTCTGTCGAACAACAGCCCAACATCAACTTCCAGCAGCATGCTGACCTAGAACGGGAGCACACGTAGGTCATACTTTGGTTACAAACATGTAGGTCATTGTAACATCATTACACATTGATACACCCTACTTCTTACATACATTTCTATTTGTTACAAATCTGAGGGCATGATAATTTAAATATCACTGCATCTGTTTATTAAAAATTGATTCTTCCTTCTGTAGCATTTTCATTGGTTGATCTTAATGCAAAGAATTGACTTTTGAAAGTGGCACTCAGATTTTGTAATAGCTGTATTGAAAATCTAGAAAAGAGATTCTGTGAATGTGCATATAAAACTTGGCAAAAGTAAGTTCATCAGTCTTATTCTATTACCCATTTCATGACAAAAAGTCTGTCCTACTTTCAAGTCAAGGACAATGTAAAAACTTATGTTTTCATCGCTTTGTGTGTTGTAACATGCCTGAAAGGCATAATGTTTGACACTTCATAAAATGAATGCAATTAACAACATAACCATGTATTTCTTTACTGTGGGAACTGTATTCTATAGTATTTTGTGTTATTGAGAGATAATTCAGCCCTCAGAAAAAGCTCTAGTTTAAATCTACGATTAATCAAAATTGTACATTATACACACTGTCAGTTCTGAGAGGTAACTAAGAATACACATATGGACAAAAGACAGGAAACATACATTCCACAACTGTCTACCTTTGCAGATATCAATTGGCAGAGAATGTTGATGCCCAGCTGAAGAGGATGGTACAGGACCTAAAGGAGATCATAGATCACCTTAACATGACAAACTCCAACCAGGACAACTCAGACCCAGTAAGTGCTCAGTATAGCCGGGCGGTTTTGCAGAACTATATTTATATATGATTTATTCGCTACAAGGGTAAGATATCAAATTAAGTAATCTGTTTTAATTTCAGCTCTTGGAGCTTACTATAAATGACAATGTAGGATAAAAATTTAAGGATCCCTGTACCACTGCCAAAAACTGAAACTATGTGTTTGAAACTGGGTTTTCCGTCATTACTATAGCCTTTCCGAAAAGAAAACCTTGCAGGACTTTTATGAGAAATAATAGATATGAAATAAACAAAATGTAAACAAATACCAGTGTTCTGAATGTAAAACAATCACCAGGGCCAGACCGGGATTCGAACCTGTTCGATTAATGTTGCCAGTAGAATTATGTTTATTGTTTCAAAATTGTTTTCCTTGCAGACGCAGCAGGTAACAAAGATATTGAACTCACACATGGATTCCTTACAATGGATTGATCAGAACTCAGGTAATAAGATTCTCCCTGACAAACTGTAAAACGTGGATGTTTTCATGCACATTATTGGAAGCTGAAATAAATGTTACGAGAGACTAAATGTCTATCACAATGTTATGAGAGACTAAATGTCTATCACAATGTTATGAGAGACTAAATGTCTATCACAATGTTATGAGAGACTTAATGTCTATCACAATGTTTCTTCAAGAAACACAATAAGATAAATAGCAACATTCATTCTCAATCCAACCTTGCAGGACTAATAGAATCTTCCCCTACCTTGGGGGTGTGACAGAGAAATGTTAAATCCAAGGGGTGATCTATTTGATTGTCAAACCTAAAGCTCTGTCGTGGGTTTGATAACCAAATAACCAGGGTTGGAGATTTCCCTGTTTCACCCTCATGGTAGGGGAAAATTTGTTGAATTCCCGAAAAAACACCATTTCACGGTACAAAAACTTACTGATTACGAGTACAAACTCAAATGGAGAAATAAGTTATACATGTATCAAACTTGTAATTAATTTGTTGACCTATGAATTCATGGATGAAAATAAACCACAAAATTAAACAAATTAAAAAAACCACCAAAATTAGTGATTTCACAGTTATATTTTAAAATAATATTTCAGTTTTTTTTTTATTTATCCCAAAAAATGACCAAAATGGCTGTGGTTATTATTAGCTTTTTTTAGCTTATGCCATGGTGCCGCGTCCGTCGTCCAGCGTTAATATTTTACTTTTTTTAAACAACTTCTTTTTGATAACCAAAAGGCCTAGCGTAATGATATTTGGCCGATAGCATGCTGGGTTGAAGGGCTACAAACTTTGTTCAAATAAATTACCTTCACTTATATTCAAGGTCACCGGGGTCAATTGTCTTTTAAATCTTAAAACAACTTCTTCTGAATAACCAAGAAAGAAAAAAAATATTATCCACGTACCTAACACTGAAACCAAAACCAGAGAAAACATTTCCTCAGAGCACATACTCTTGTTATTAACCAATCTGAGCCTCTGAGAACTTATGTGATATTTTTATCATGATACGCCTCATATCGTAAGCATCGTATCGTGAGGTATGCGTATCGTTGCAGCCCTAGCTAATACAGTGTTAATTGGTTATTTTTCTACCAATTGCAGATTATTGAGGCTTATTTAATACTATCAGTAATTTGTGTTTGTGTTCTAAGATCAATAAATCTCATTACAGCTTTACTGGGCAGAAAAGTCGACGAAATTTCCAAGCAAATGGAAATGCAGAGGAAGGAACAAGAACGCAACTTCAGACTGGTTTACAACTGAACTGTTTCACCAATACGATCAGTTTACATAGGATGTATTATAGTCATGGACATATGAAAACTGAAGATTATGTGGGTCATGTTTTCTGTTTTACTGAGATCCAAGTGTCACATTTCATGTCTAACATAAAACTGAAGACAAGGAATTATGTGTCTGTGTACCGTGTAATATTACTACAAAAATTCACTAACTTTAGTGTGCAGCCACTATATAAAACTGGAATAAGAGTATAGACAGGGTAAATAGTGGAGGAATAGGAAAAATTGGTGATTTTCTGTAACAGAATGTTTTCACTTTAATACAGCTATGTCTGTTTCAAGGTAAAATAAACAAAAAAGAAAAACTCTTCTTGTGTTGCTCTATCTATCGTCCATATTAGGGAGAATACACAAATTTGAAAGCACTGATGTCACTTTCCAAGGAATTGCTACTGTATGGTATCAAAATGAAAGGTGGATACCTTGGAAAGGTAGGTTACTGTTAAGCTGGGAAATCTCCTTAGATATTACTTTATCTTTTATAGATAAGGGAGAATACTCAAAGTTGTGAGCTTTAAATATCATGATTATAACTTGTGTAGTGGTGTCTGATACCGTAAGTTCTGATTATCGTTTTCGTAAAAATAAATATTAATGAACATGTTAAACTTGTCATTCATTATGTTGCCTGATTACAGTGTTTTTGTTGCCTAAATTTCACAACAGCCTCTTCCTTTATGAATTGGGAAAATATTGCATTATTTATATTGAATTTGGGAACATACTCCTCAGTTTTGGGTCATTTTGCGAAATAATGCACTTTTTAGCTAGGGGAAACAGCCTGTATTCGGCAGTAAAACTGAGCAAAGTAAAATCACCAGATAAGCCAATTAGTTGTTTTCAGAATCAAGTTTGATTATTACATCACAATAAACTCTACTGTGGTATAAAAGAAATGCTCAGTGAGTTGGTGTGATTTTTATTTTATTAAATTGTTCAGCAAATGTAGGGTTTTCTTGCACAACATTAAAGTATATGTACTACTATAGATTCATTGCCAGATACATTTCTATGGTACATTTTGTATTCCTTTGTATCTGACATGCTTTCGTAGTCTTCATTTGTACTGGGTAAGTTGCTATACACTTCATTTCATTTTGTGCTTGTCTAGTATTGCTGTGAAATGTAAATACATGTACCTAAGATTTTTAGCTTGGAATAATGTTCACCAGTTATACATGAAACAAAAGCCTTTCTGGAAATCTGTTCAAAGGAAAGAAACATACTGTCAATCTTATATAGATTTATATTCATCAGATGATCACCATATTTATAAATTTCCTGGAAATTCCATCTATTCACCGGCCAAACATTTCTGGCATTTAAATTCATCTTAACAAAAGGAAATATATGTCTGGTCATAACCATGTGGACAATGTATCCATCATCCTTGTTGACAAATAAAATTTGTTAAGTGAAAAATGAGTGCTTGTTTTGTTTATTCCTGAATTCTTTTTAATACATGTACCTATCAAAACCTCACCTGGCCTGAAGGGCCATGTGAGCTTATGCTGTAATGCGTCGTCCGTCCGTCAACTTTTTCTTTTGAAAGACTTCTTCTAAAGAACTTGAGGACCTAGGGTCATGATACTTGGCCAGTAGGTACCTGGGATGGAGTGCTATAAAGTTTCCTCATGAGGACATAAAAATCCTGTCTAGGTTCTACACCAAGCGGTTGGAGGTTAATTGTTTTATATTCCTCACACATAGTTTATTGTTTGTCTGTTTTTCTCAAGTCTCCTGCTTTTCTGAGGATTTTCGCAAACAAGGAGGTTAGTATGGTGAATGCAACATTAATTATAAACTTTCTAAATATTTTACAAATGAATTCAGAACTTTTTTGGAAAGAGATATAAAACGATGATAAGCTAAAAATCAAAGCAGCCTGCAAAAGATTCCCATCTTGTTTGTTTGATGTGAATCTTCTTTATTAAACAGTTGCTTCACAGGTCCCAGGGTAAAAAGGATGCTTCATAGAAAATTGAATTATGATGAATTTGGTTTTATTTTGTTTTAATGTCAAAGCTATTAACAACTTAGGTCATTGAAGGGCGTATATTGAAAATGACCGTCGGACCAAGTCTCTAGAGGTATGCTAGACCCATGCGCAAATTCTGGAAGCATGGATTTGTTCATCTCCTCATTTCCAGCAAGCAGTTACAGTTTATATAAAGGGAATCCAAATTGTTTGTATTTCTTTATTCAGCCATTATCCTTAAGAAAGGATTTTTTTATTAGCTCACCTAGCCCGAAGGGCCAAGTGAGCTAATGCCGTGGTGCGGCGTCCTCCGTCCATCCGGAGTCTGGCGTCAATATTTTACTTTAAACAACTTCTTCTGAATAACCAAGAGGCCCAGGATGATGATATTTGGCCAGTAGCATGCTGGGATGAAGGGCTACCAAGTTTGTTTAAAAGAATAACCTTGACCCACTTTCAAGGTCACAGGGGTCAAATATATTAAAATCTTCAAACGACTTCTTCTCAATAACCAAAAGGCCCAGGCTACTGATATTTGGCCTGTAGCATGCTGGGATGAAGGGCTACCGAGTTTGTTCAAATGAATGCCATTGACTCACTTTCAAGGTCACATGGGTCAAATGTCGTAAACTCTTCAAACAACTTCTTCTGAATAACCAAAAGGCCCAGGGTACTGAAATTGGGCCTGTAGCATGCTGGGTTGAAGGGCTACCAAGATTGTTCAAATGAATGACATTGACTAACTCTCAAGGTGACAGGGGTTAAATGTCTTTAAATCTCCAAACAATTTCTTCTCAATAACCAAAAGGCCCAGGGGACTGATATTGGGCCTGTATCATGCTGGGATGAAGGGCTACCAAGTTTGTTCAAATGAATGACATTGACTAACTCTCAAGGTGACAGGGGTCAAATGTCTTTAAATCTCCAAACAACTTCTTCTCAATAACCAAAGGCCCAGGGTACTGATATTGGGCCTGTAGCATGCTGGGATGAAGGGCTACTAAGTTTGTTCAAATAAATGACTTTGACCCACGTTCAAGGTCACAGGCGACAAATGTCGTAAAATCTTCAAACCACTTCTCAATAACCAAAAGGCCCAGGGTACTGATGTTGGGCCTGTAGCATGCTGAGATGAAGGACTACCAAGTTTGTTCAAATGAATGACATTGACCCAATTTCAACCTAATGTCCTTGTTCAACATTCAAGGTCACAGGCGTCATATTTTAATTGGTTCTTATGAATCAAACACTGATATTCTGCCTGTAGCTGTATTTTAGTCCACTTTTAAGATTACAAGTGTGAGATAAATACCAGGTGAGCGATGCAGGCCCATTGGGCCTCTTGTTTGTATGTAATTTCACAAGGTTGGGCCTTGTTCAACTGGATCTTTAGGGGTTAGGTACTCAAAATGTAATCTGCATTCATTCAACTGTGGCTGAAAGAATCTTCATTTGTATGGTCCCTACCAAGGTCAAATGACACTCATCTATCTTTTTCAAAATAGTTCAAAACATGAAAGGTTTAAGTAGTGCAACAGACAAAATTAGTTCGGCCTTATAGGCTGAGGTGATCTTAAATCAGACAAGTATGAGTGACAGTTTTCTTAACAAGTAGTACCCATTTTTCATTCTTATTCAATAAGGGTATACATTCCTAATCTTTCATTGAGACCAATATTGCAAAAAAACATTTGAAAGAGGATTAATAACTAATCAGATGTGATTATTAGTACCCAAAGTTCTGTTACGCTCAAAATTTTATTTAATTCTTGTCCTGAAAATTCATTTTGAAAATGTTTGTACATTTTACTTTCACAATCAAAACCAAGATGTGGTGGAACTGATACTTCAATAAACTAACGTTACCAAAATGAGGTGTAAATAAGTTAACAATACAAATAGATTCAAGTAAACTGCAATTCCTAAAATAAAAAATGTGAAAACCTGTAGCCAAAAAGTGAAATACAGGGGTAATTCAAACGTCAAGGCAATCCATAGTCTCCCACCGGTAATGGTTACTTATTTACCATGCTGCACTCTGTTAGTCAAGGCAATCCATAGTCTCCCACCGGTAATGGTTACTTATTTACCAAGCTGCACTCTGTTAGTCAAGGCAATCCATAGTCTCCCACCGGTAATGGTTACTTATTTACCAAGCTGCACTCTGTTAGTCAAGGCAATCCATAGTCTCCCACCGGTAATGGTTACTTATTTACCAAGCTGCACTCTGTTAGTCAAGGCAATCCATAGTCTCCCACCGGTAATGGTTACTTATTTACCAAGCTGCACTCTGTTAGTCAAGGCAATCCATAGTCTCCCACCGGTAATGGTTACTTATTTACCAAGCTGCACTCTGTTAGTCAAGGCAATCCATAGTCTCCCACCGGTAATGGTTACTTATTTACCAAGCTGCACTCTGTTAGTCAAGGCAATCCATAGTCTCCCACCGGTAATGGTTACTTATTTACCAAGCTGCACTCTGTTAGTCAAGGCAATCCATAGTCTCCCACCGGTAATGGTTACTTATTTACCAAGCTGCACTCTGTTAGTCAAGGCAATCCATAGTCTCCCACCGGTAATGGTTACTTATTTACCAAGCTGCACTCTGTTAGTCAAGGCAATCCATAGTCTCCCACCGGTAATGGGTACTTATTTACCAAGCTGCACTCTGTTAGTCAAGGCTGTCCATAGTCTCCCACCGGTAATGGTTACTTATTTACCAAGCTGCACTCTGTTAGTCAAGGCAATCCATAGTCTCCCACCGGTAATGGGTACTTATTTACCAAGCTGCACTCTGTTAGTCAAGGCAATCCATAGTCTCCCACCGGTAATGGGTACTTATTTACCAAGCTGCACTCTGTTAGTCAAGGCAATCCATAGTCTCCCACCGGTAATGGGTACTTATTTACCAAGCTGCACTCTGTTAGTCAAGGCAATCCATAGTCTCCCACCGGTAATGGGTACTTATTTACCAAGCTGCACTCTGTTAGTCAAGGCAATCCATAGTCTCCCACCGGTAATGGGTACTTATTTACCAAGCTGCACTCTGTTAGTCAAGGCAATCCATAGTCTCCCACCGGTAATGGGTACTTATTTACCAAGCTGCACTCTGTTAGTCAAGGCAATCCATAGTCTCCCACCGGTAATGGTTACTTATTTACCAAGCTGCACTCTGTTAGTCAAGGCAATCCATAGTCTCCCACCGGTAATGGGTACTTATTTACCAAGCTGCACTCTGTTAGTCAAGGCAATCCATAGTCTCCCACCGGTAATGGTTACTTATTTACCAAGCTGCACTCTGTTAGTCAAGGCAATCCATAGTCTCCCA